ACCTGACGAGGAGGTTGAGAGCGACAGTGAATCCGAGCACCGACTCAGTAACGTGCATCTTCGTACCACTGCAGCACCGCAGGTCCAGCTTTCTCCAGGAGATCCAGAGTTTTCCCCTCCACTCGCCTCATGGACCGATGCAAAACAGTTTTTTATTGCCGAGAAGAATTGGCAGTACCTACTGGGAACCTCGTTGGCTTGGCTGTTTCTCGATTTCGCATGTGAGTAGACCACTAAGCCGCTGCGACAGACTTACTGACTTTGAGGCAGTCTATGGGCTGGGTCTATCCTCACCAGAGATTGTCAGACACATCTGGCCGGGTGGTATCAAAAATGAGTCATCTGTGTACCAGACACTGAGCGATAACAGCAAATATACCCTGGTTATGGTTTCCACAGGGACAGTTGTGGGTGGTCTCCTGATGATCAAGGTCGTCAAGTATGTGTCACCGAAAGTGATCCAGTTCTGGGGGTTCTTGGTTCTGTTCGTACTCTTCATCGTAACCGGGAGCGCTTGGACGAACTTGCTCGACAGCAGTCGATCAGGACTGATGGTACTGTATGTGATCAGTCACATCGCCTTCAACCTAGGGCCGAATGTGACGACATTCATCATTCCTGCTGAGATCTTTCCGACAAGATATCGGTGTACCTGCCACGGGATAGCTGCTGCTAGTGGAAAACTCGGGTCTTGGGTAGTGCAAATCTTTCTGGCGTATGCTTTCCAATCCGACAAGTCTAAAAGCCAGGACGATTTTAGATGGGAGCGACAGAACTTCGGGCACATCTTACAAGTCATGAGCGCGTTCATGGTAGCGGGTGCTGTGACGACATATTTCTTGGTCCCGGAGACGAGGGATCACGATAATAAGAGTCGAACACTGGAGATTCTGGCATGCGGCAAAAAGGTCATTGATGAGCTGAACCGTCAACGGAAGAAGGAAGATGAGGAGGACTAAGCCTTTAGTGCTTTCGGTAACGCGAAAGTATTTTGAATCAGTCCAGGGCCTGGTAACCTTAGTGCAAATGTGATGATGCCATGGCGGGCGTGTTCGTGGGTTCATGTTGGGCTTTCGCAATCAGTTGTCCAGCCACCTAGATATGACGCACCACTCTTAGACACTAGTTCCACTCGGTACTAGACGAAACCCCTCCTCCAAGGTGCCGCCCTCCATTTCCGAACTCCTACAGTTTCGAAGTCTTGAGAAATCCAGGGCTATGACTTGCAACTCCCTCGACCAGTAATACGAGACAAATTGATAAAGACCGGTCAACACCCCTCAAATGTACTCAATTATGAGAATAGGATGAGCGGAATTACCTCCAGATCAGAAAGAAATGCATAAGGTGTGAGTAGCATGGAGTAATGAATATTTGTTGAACATCCTTGGTGATTGAGAATTGCCTACTTTTGCTTCACAGCTTCATCAACCCTCTTTCCTTTCTACTGCCAGATCAATGTAATCTTCTTCCACCACGGCCCTTTCACCGTTCTTGCTGGTACTTCCTCAGCGAGAACCTGATCCAAGCCTGTCTTCATGTCCACCTCCGCTGGATCATAAGCCCAAGTATCGCTCCAGGCCCAGATCCGGTGTCCTCCATAGAACAAAAAGAACATGGGAATACCAACGTATGCAGTGAAGAAAGAGCTGACGTCCCACTTCTCAGGCCAGAAGACATCAAATCCATTGATCAAACACAGGAAGGTGAAGCTAACGATAACGCACCAAGCTCCCCACTTGTTGACTGGTGAACGATATGGCAGGTCGGTGATGTTTTGCGCTTCGCAAGCTTTCCGGAAACGCAAAAAGATGATGCCGCAGCAGATCCACGAGATGAAGCCAGACGTGTTTGTCAAGTTGACGAACCAGTTAAAGACGACGGCGCTCTCGCTGCCTACGTTCAGGTATGCTAGGGCACAGAAGAGTGAAGACGCTGTAACAGCCCAGTATGGCACACCAGACTTGGTGCATGATTTGAAGATGGACGGTGCGTTACCAGAAAGCGCAAGCGCATATAGGGAGCGCGAGGAGAGGAAGAGGAAGGAGTTTCCTGATGACCAAGCACTTATGATGATACCGGCGTTGATAATGCTGTCGAGTACCCTAGATGCGTGTATACAAGGTCAGTGAACGTGCCACATTCAGTTCGTACAGGGCCACTTACGGAATACCGGCGTTCTTGATGCCTGCGACGAATGGTGACGAACCAGCACCAGATCCCCCAGAGGTGATGATGGGATCATTTGAGGGACAGATAACACCGATTGCAAGCACACTGCCGACGTAGAAGAAAAGAAGACGGTAGATATATCGGCGTGCAGCAGTAGGCAGGTTCCGCCGCGGTGACTGCATCTCACCACCTGTCGCTACAAGAAGCTCGGGGGCAAATGTAAACGGGAACTAAACAGGGATTAGTGAAACTGAACTAGACCTTGAGGAGCTGTTCACTTACGGCAGAAAGTACCATGGTAGATAGCAATGCCACAAACCGCCCCGCATTACCCTCTTCTAGATATGTATTTGCCGCACCAGGATTCTTCCAGTATCTGAAACCGAGACGGTCGTGCTTGGGACCACCGCCCCAGAATAGGATGAAAGACAAGATAAGCAGTCCCAAAATCATTACAACCTTTGTTCCAGCGAACCAAAACTCCGTCTCGCCGTAAAACTTGACTGGGAAGCAATTCAGCCCGACGATGACAATGATCATGATCGTGATCCACACTGCAATGTTCACGGGTGGGTTCCAATACTCAATGACCAATCCAGCCGCTGTAATCTCGTAGGGTACCAGGATTCCAAGAGAGTAAAAGTATAGCCATCCGAGTCCAAAGCCCATTGAGCGGGAGACATAGCGGTATCCGAAGAGGTTCATAGAAGACCCAGGAGTTGGGAGATAGGCGGCGACTTCGATGATACCTGCAACAGTACAAAAGATCAAGAAGGACATGGCGATATATGTGGACAAGATAAAGGCTGGACCGCCGCGAGCGAGGGTTTGGCCTGAGCCAACAAAGAGACCAGTGCCTATTGTACCACCCAAAGCAATCATTTGGGCATGTCTGTCCTATATCAGCCTTCCAAACCACATCATATGGAGAACAGCCAGCAACTTACCTTGACTTTAGACCCCGATGCGTGGTCTCATAACGCTCATCAAATATCTCTCCTGCAATGATGGCCGGATCAACGGCGGAACTCTTCCTACGACTTGCCGTATGCGAGTTTCTTACATTGCCGATGCCATAATCCACACTCTGTTCCCCGACAGTCGACTCCTCGACCTTTTTCTCAGACATGTCTGCGTTGTCAATCACTGCACTAAGAATCAGTTTTCGATGTCGTGGAATGCTCAAAGCACGCCAGGGATCCAACGCGCGGCGACGCAGGGCTTAAGAACTCCGTTCATGTACATGCAGCCGAGATAGGAGCAATGCATGCGGTAGGCTCAAGCAACCCTTGTCAGCATGCCATGGCCGGTAGACGTGCAACCCAAGGAAGGCTTGTCCTCCTAACGTGCGTAGTGCCAACGCGAATGCACCGAAGCCAGGCAAGATGGGCTCCAGCTGAAACGTCGATATGGTCTTCTCCAGCCGCTCACGTCATGTTGCGAACGGTGGTTCGGCGGATTGAGTCGAGACCGGCAAGGGTATGAACGAGGGCTGAAGATAGGCGCCGATAAGCAGGACGGCAAGCGATTGCAAGAGCTGATAAGCTTCTTCATTCACACTGTAGGGGGAAACTAACCTCTTTGGAGAGATTTTCGGGATTACATGTCTATCTGCGGTTGTCTTGCATCCAGTACTTTAATTGACTGGGCATATGTAGATGTGCTGCGCGGTACTGGAAGACGCGACAATTACACTTGGAACCATGGTGTATGTTTGACAAAGCAATGACTAGGCGGCTAGTCCCATTTACGTGCACGTACGAGTCCGGGGTATGAGATACAGAGAATGGTGATACCTGAAAGATGCCCACTCAGACGGCGTGTTGTTATCGCAGTTCTCCGACCAAATCAATCTAAACTCGGTCAGGATTAGCACGTGGCCTAACTACAACAGGAGGCGGCAGCGCGGACATGCCTTCTCGCGTCAATTTCTCATAAATGGTGGAGTTGATAATTACTACCCAGACCGAACTTGAAAGCCTATTATCCTCTTGATCACGATTTTGACCGAAGGATCACCAGTCACTAGGCACTATTGGCAACCGGATCGTAGTGTACAAAACGACATGCTCGAGTAGACCCCACTTAGACATGCCGCATCTTAGACAGCCTCAAGGATGGGAAACCGCCCCGCCTCAGAGATCTCCGCCCCACGTTCAAAGTGATAGTTCCCTCTCTTGCTGTCGATCAACACAACCTGTCTCTGTCATCCACCGGGCCACTCTGTTTTGATTCCAGTCCACCAGATGAGAGTGCGAGCGCAGTGTAGACGTATCTGTTCGTAGGGTGTGGAGTTATAGAGGAAAATACCAAGGAATCATGCGCCGGACGTTCTAGATTGAGTTCTTGGGATATGGATGCCAGTTATTTGCGACGTGGTCTCGAGCTCGGGGTTCGCGTGCCAGGTCAATGAGCACAAACGAAATGATATGACCCTGTTGAATACAGCTTGGGAGAGGGGAGAGATGATGAATTGCCCTCTTGTGGTCACGAATACAATTTCCAGATTCCGACGCGACTTAGCGCACCTCGCCCAGCGTCCAGAATCTTCTCTTTTGCTCTATCGAGCTTAGAAGCAAAGTGCATTAGCGCGCAAATCTGGCTGACGAGACGGGTATGGAGGAAGGGTAGTAGAGTAGAAGGCGATGGAAGGTGGATGGAAGGTATGGCAGATTACATCATCTTAGAACGGTAAAGATGGCAAGGTGACGAACGGGCCGGGATCGTCGAGATAGCCTAAGTGAAACCCGTCGTGCAGCCAGCTGACCCCAAACTACCATGTGCATCTTACTGTGCTGCTGTTCATGTCCGCTAGTTGCTTCCTGACTTCACCATGCCAACTCTTTCTGCGGCCTCTGCACCATGCTTATAGGTACACAGCCCCAGGAGCACACGCTGGCTTTCAATGGAACGAATTCGCCTCCCCGACTCCAAAACTCAATCCACTCGGCACGTGCCACAATGTACTCCTTGTGACAGGTATGGCACCTGCGGAACATACCATACCCGTCAGCGGCATTCTCCTCTGCTTGCGAGAGGATGGCTTCCACGACGGGGAGGAAATCTGAATCGAGGAACGCACGGATGGTACCGATGTTCGTAGATTTGAGCCCCCTGTATAAGCTAGCTGTGAGGAGGGAGGACATTTTGCTTGTAGACGGAGGGGTGAACCAAGGTGAAGAAGGAACGCCGTATGTACCTTGGTTGGTTTCGACAATGACGGGATATTCCTCTTCTTTGGAACAAGGAAGCCGTGGAGATCCTTTGAGGACGTTGCCGCCCTGGTCATAGTACGATACTAGTGTCCTGGCAATATACCGTGGTGCGTGGGCTAGCACTTGGCTATCGTTCATAGCATCCAAGGGCAAAGAGGGATGGTGCGGATAGAAACCAACGTCTTGTTCAACATTGCATTCCTGGGTATTATCTCCGCCACCGAATGAGTTTGTCCAGGACTCGAAATAGCGGATCCGCCAGACTGCTTGATCACGGTCTTTGCAAGTCGCCAGAGTTTGGTACAAGTGCGCAAGTTGACTGCTTGCGTCTTCCCGCACCTCATCGAGTGGCAGCGAATCGGTGTGGTGAAGAGGCGCTTGCTCTTGCTTCTGGTAGTCGGCGACTGAGAATCTATGAGAAGACATGGGCTGAAGTAGATCTTTTCCCATGAGAGTGAGGCGGGTCATGTTCCCATGTGGAGAGAGAAGGGAGATGACGTCAAAGGGGAGGTACTTTAGCTTGTTGAGAGACACGTCCAAGGTTTCGAGTTTGGTTAAACGGCTGATTTGTTGCGGAAGCTCTTCAATCTCATTCTGGCGCAGGTAGAGACCAGTGAGATCTGCAAGGTCGAACAGAGATGGAACCAGTCGACAGAGCTTATTCTTACTGAGGTGAATCTGGAGTTTGGGGAGGAGAGATCGGTACTGCCCCGCCGTGGGAAGCTCAGTGTCGTGGACGGGCGGGTCGCTGATGACGGTTTTGAGGTTGCCGATGTGCCTAATGTCGCTGTCCTCGAGGCCCTGGCCATCAAAGTCATAGGATTCCTGGTTCCGCGCAATGCCATGGTCCATCTGCTGGATGAAAGCTTGCTCTGCTGTTGGAGCACTGGTGCTGCCCATGTTCATGTCTTCATCATCAGAGGCATTTGGGTTGGGGGCGCGCTTGAGCGGCATCTTGCTCCTCATGTTGTAAGGCGATATGTACTGGGGCGGAGGGAGTTCCTCGGAGCTGTTGGTGGCATCGCTGAGCATGTAGATGCCAGAGTCGAAATTGCGCTCGAATTTCGTCTTCTTCACCTCTGGGGTCGTGTGGGCAGACTCGCGACTGTCCCACCACGCGCCCTTGCGTTTGTTCTTGTGGATACGAGGGGATTCGTAGTTGGTCACATCGACGGATTCGCGAGAGTCATCACTGGAAAAGACGGGGGGCGGCGAGCTCGACTTGGTGGTGAAGGCAGTATATTTGCGCTCAAAGAAGGGGTTGGGCGGGAGGTCCATGGTGGTGCACGCGAGCGGTGGTGACGACGGGGGCGCCTCGTCGAAATCCATGGCAGAGAAGATTTCTAGAGAGACAATGGAGCAGAGAAGGCAGGCGGACGGTTGATCGTATGGCGTGTCGAACTTGCAGTCGCGCCAGAAAGAAATGAGGCGATGGCTGGGAGCTGTGGGGAGAAAGATGCGGCGACGCGTTCCTTGGGCCTCGGACGCGCCCCCACCCGGCGAACCAGGGTCTCACTGCCGTCATCGCCCACGCACAGACAGCGTTCCCACGTGCACAGTCGGATGCTCAGGTACCGTCGCATCAAGCATATCAAGTTTATCGTGTCTAGCACTCTATCAGCCAACATCATCTCTCCAGCCCCGCCATACGTCTGAGGGCTACATTAGAAACCAGCCGCCCCTCCATGCCAATGTCTTTGCCCTCTAACCTTTCGCCCCGGGACATGGCCAGCTCTGTCATGACGGCTCCCATCTCCTTCGTTGGCGTCATCATGGTCTTGTAGACTAGATTCATTGGCGCTATTATGGCTTTCTTCCACGCAGCCTGCGGCGGTATGAACGGATGGATCGCCGTATGCTTTGTCCAGTCCACACCCCCTGGCCTGACGTTGTACACCCTGAACATGGGCTTCGATTTGCCCAAGTCGAAAAGCTCCGACTCGACCTGTCCTTTGACTCGTCCGTATAGCGGTGTGAAGGTGCCTGGAGCCTGCGTAGCGCCCTCGCCCGAGACATGGACAAACGTAAAGGGCGAGTCTGGGTGCATGGTAGAGAAGGCGCGCGCAGCAGCCATGGCACAATCGCGCGTTATCTCGACATACTGCCTGAGCAAGCATGTTAGCATAAGGCCTCTATAGCAGTTTATAGGAAACAACTCACTCCTTGCTGACAGCATTCTGTGACACGCCCAAGGCCCACACGCAACCCTCTGCATCCTTCAAATCTTCCAGTAAGACTTTGTCGTAGTTGTTGAAGTCTGTATGAATGATGACTTTCGCCTTGGCATGTCCTTCGGCCATCTTGACAGGCCGTCTGCTCAGGATCGAGATACGACTAATGCTCTCCTGTGCAAGCATATTGTCGAGGACAGACGCGCCGATCAGCCCTGTCGCTCCAGTAAGTATGAGATGCATGGTAACTGCGCTTCTTCGTTCGATGTGCTGTTCAGCTGTCTACTCGTGGTTCCAGAGTCGTCTGTTATATATGCCTGCGTGCTTAAGCATAAGCGCTACCACCATGGTCAGTTGTGATTAACGGGCGTAATGTCCCCCAATAGCAACGGCGTTAACTCCGTGCAAAGTTGACATCTGCGCCGCATTTTGCACGAACGGTGACTGTATGCGATCAGTAGACTCGACCGGGCAGCTCTGCGGCGTTAACACAGCTCCGGTGGTCGTCCGGCCAGTCACGGTGGAAGGCCAACGCGCTTCCAAGGTTGACTAAGCTGGCGGCTTCCAAGCTTCACGAGGAAAGCGCCCAAGAACTCCCTCCACTGGAACCCAAACATGCCTTCCTATCGACATGGGAATTATACAGTTCACAATCGCCTTTGCAGAGACGCGTAATGACAGGCTCTCAGGCTTCCGCAGCCCCCTGGCGATCAGCCGTGGCGAGCGGGCGGGATTTCGCTTTGCCCGGCTGCGAGAAAAGCGACCAGGTCCAAAGCAGGATGACTGTCTACCCACAGCCTCTGCCGCCCTAGGTAACTGTCCTTGCGCTCTCTCCACCCACATTTTTCTCTGTCACTTCATTCCTTCGAGTCGCTCTTTTGCTGCTTTTCCTTCGTCTTCGCGCAATCATGGCTGCCGCAGCCAAGGCTGCCGCGGATCCTCGTATCGTGAGACTGATTCTACATTTTCTGTCCGACATGAAATACAAGGACCGTAGACAGCAGGGACCCGACCAGCCGGTTGAACTTCTCGAGTTTCGGCCCACGTTGGTACCCTCAATCATGGTCAACAAAATCTGGGCAAACGAGGGTACATCTATCCTTTGGAGACGCTACCCGCACCTTCCGGCTCTGCAGGACATGACCTTCGACCGAAGACAATGGTATGCGGACAAAGTCGAGAGGCTGTTCGTATTGGGACCTACAGACGGTGGCGGAGATCTTGCATACCTCGAAGGCTTACATTGGCCAAGAATCGAGATACTGGAGCTGGAAATAGACTGGGCGACGCATTCAAAAGCAATCAACACTATGCTGCACACAGGCCTTACACAACTGGAATTCCTTGGATCGCAATCTGGTAATTCACATTACGTCGCTGGCACTGTTCTTTCAGCCTTTTCCGCATGTACCAATCTCTCTAGCATTACCTTTGGTCCAGATGTCTTCTGTCCTGAAGATCCTGTGTCTTATCAAAACCTGGTAGATGTGATCGACTCCGTGCCCAGCATCACGAACGTGCGATTGATGAACGCTAGCCTTTCCGGCAAGGATATGCTGTTCAGACATTTAAGTAACCGACCAGGCCTGGAAACTCTACACATCGACCTCGACCCTGGCCTGCAACTATTGCCATACTTACCGGGTCCCGTTGCGCTTGTTTCCCCTTTCTCTTCACTCAGGCAGCTCCACCTCAAGTGCTATCCTGAGTTGGCCGTTGCACTTCTTCCTCACCTCCCACTTGTAGAACAAGTACAACTAGACATTGCTAGAATACCAGAGCGAGCACAGCAGGATTGGGATTTGAATGTTCTTGATCTCATACTAGCTCAGATGGCGCAATGCGGTGAACTTCGATCAATGCGAGTCAACGTTGGCGCACTCGCGCAGAACTTTCCATCGGCCGTATCACATCCACTCCTTCACGGTGAGGCTCTAGTGAACCTTGCCAATGGCTGTCCTAAATTGGAACATGTCGACCTTCTTGCCTCGGAACCTAGTGCAATAGATGGGTCTTTGATCTCGAGCCTCCACTTCGAAGCATTTTGTAGGAAGTTGCCGCAACTTTTGAGCCTCAGCATGAAGCTTCATCCACAAAGTGCGATCGATCTGGAATCTACCGCGCTACCGAGCCTCGGTAAATACTGCCCCCTGCTTGAAACCTTGCGCATGAAAGTTGCACTCCATCTTCCGGATCTACAGACACTACGGGGTCTTCCGCATCCGAAAGCCTTCGAAACCGCGCTTGACGATTATTCTCAAATTGAAAGCGCACTTCAAGCGCCTTCCATAACACTTGATGTTCACGAAAGAAGCGCTTCCGTGGATCAAAAGGATCTCTCCGGTAGTGGAGCTTCGAATAGTCCGCTCTTCCAGTTCTTGACGCACGTCGCCTTCGCACGTCCTCAGTCAATCCTATCGATCGTTAGTGATGCGTACACCGTTTCATCAAATTCCCAATGTAGCTCTGTGGTCGATCCACTCGTTGAAGAAGAGCTCGTCCGGTTGTGGGCACAACCACTTGCAGCGCAGTTTCCTCGTCTGGAGATATTGGAAGCATGGAGTGACTGGACAGGACAGGACAACGAGTCACTGAGCTATTTCCTACCACACGAGGAGCTACTGGCGAATGTTTGGGATTTTCTGAGTGGAATTGAGCAAGACCTTTGGGAGACCGGAGAAGATGCAGAAGAGGAGGTGAACGACGAACCGGATTGGACCGAATACCGCAAGGAGCGTTTCAGTATGGACAGTTATATCAGTGGCGACTGGGAGTTGGCCAGTCTCGTAAACGAATTCCCGGTAGAAGAGGACTTCGATGACAGCGCTTATCCGACGGCATACGCCGAAGAGCCAGAGGGAATGATTACGCCCGGAAGGAATCTAGACGATGATGAGGAAGCTTACTTTGGTCGTACAAACACGAAGTACATTACTGTTTCTGGCCCGTGAGCATTTGTCAACACATCATATGCCGCAGAAAATGGAGCAAGTATATATTATGGGCGCAGAACAACATGTTTTTTTTTTACGCAAAAGAGTATGGCTGCCATCCTAGCACTTAACCAATATCGTTAGAGTACACAACTACACAGCAAATTTACGATCCCGTTCTCAAGACGTGGCTTCACGCAGCACAAGGAACACATTTTGGGGCCAGCACGCACGGCTTGTAACAGGTTCGATATCAATTTCATTTGTCTCAAAACCTCTACCCCTTTGCTGTTCTTCACTGTATTGCATATGCTATACTGAACGGCTTCTTTTATTATACTGCCATTCAATGAAATAAGAAATATACATCCCATTGCTTTCCGAAGTCTGTGGCACTCATGACCTCCCAAACAATTACTATTTAAAGATCTGTCATTCACCTATGAAGATAGACCAATGAGAGTATAGCCCTCATTTAGGTACATCAAAGGATCTACTTACAGCTTCAGTCCTCGGCGGAAATGCTACTACAGGCGGTGGTGGGGTCTTGGGTAGCTGACGGGGAGCGGAGGCTGGCTCTGGTAACGGCCGTTGTGGGTAGCTGGGGTTTTGGGCCTGGAAAGGCGGACCGGGGGATAGATATTGATCGGGAGCACTAGGCCCAGTATTTACTGGCGAGGGAAATGGTGGGGAACTTCGAGGCGAAAGAGTGATATCAGGTGCTGCTTTGTCCAAGTCAGTATGCATTAGACAGTTTAATGTGGAATTGTTGGCCCTGACCTTGTGAACAGCCTGAGTCTGGATACTGCCCTTGACCTTGACTTAGCTGAAAGCCCTGCTGCTGATGGCCTTGATCGCGATGCTGCCGGCCGCGACCCTGATTTTGTAGATAGCCTTGCTGCTGATAGTCTTGACCTTGACCTGAGGGTATGTCTTGCTGCCGCTGACTGCGACTTTGCTACTGACCGCGACCTTGCTGCCGACCGCGACGGCGACGGCGACCGCAAGCTTGTTGTGTTGCCTCACGTTCTGCTGCGCGACGAGCGATACGCTCTTCGTGGGCACGTTGGTTGGCTCTACCCGACTCACTGTTTTGGTGGCGTTGCCTAGGGCCAGGCATTGTAAGTCGGGTGGTCGATATAGTAAAGATTGAGTAATTGAGCGGTCGAGCGTGTAAGTGTAAGAAGTAAGCGAGTAGTAATCACAGCTAAGAAGAAAGAGTCTTCGATGAGCGTGGGGTAAGTGAGTGCGTGGTGGTCGTTTACTTTGATATGGTCTAAGCGTCTGCATGTTATTAGTACAACAGTAACTGAGGCCCACTCGGTGACTGACCTTGCCATTGACAATGGTGCTACTGTTGTGACATGTCTACTTAGAAGTGACAGACAAGCTCACGACACGGGTGCAGTTCGACATAGCAGGGAATGATGGTTAGTGGTTCTGGAGACTGTTAGCTGACAGACGACTCATGACATTGCGGAAGGGTGCTCAACCGACTCGAACGTGCAAGGAAGTTTAATGATTCAACTCTAAAATCTAAAAGATCAAGTGCCATCCATTCAAGAGCTGTCATGGCCATCAAACGAACCCCGAGTAGTTAAGAGAACTGACTACTATCGCCAACAGTAAGTCAGGAGATGACGGACAAGTCACCATTTCTCGGAAACGCCCTCAAACGACTCGACAAGCAAGAAAGTTCAATGGAGCAGCTCTAGGATCTTCCAGAGACCAATTGCCATCGTCATCGCTAAGTCAAGAGCCCACTCAGTCAAAGGAACAACCAACTGCCTGGATGCGAGATTCGCGATAGGGCGGCCCATGCCAACCACCGCCCAACTCCCACCGTCACAGTCAAGTCAAGAGCCCACTCGATCAGAAGATCGTCAAGTTAGTATGTCATGTAGCAGCGCGTTCGCTGCTAGTGTCGTCGATGTCGACATCGATGCTCTCGGAGCAGGGCATTGTCAAGGCAGGCAGTCGTTGTGCCATGGACGGGAAGGGGAGCCAGCCAAACTTTCGATCTGTCAAACGTCAGCGTCAGCGTCGAGCGCCTCTTCTCTCTTCCACTGTCACCACCGGTCAGGCGCAACACTATCTGTAGTTGTAGAATGTCGTTCGTGTGTCCTAACGCAGTTGCTTCGCTTCTTTGCTTTCCTTTTGTGTTGGACAACATGTCCTTCTGCTGGCGGGTCATGGAGGAATCCGTTTGATGGGCTGAAGCACATTGGCAGACGAGCCGAGACGACAGAGGAACCGTGTGTAAGCATACAAGAGACACTGGAAAAGACCAGCTGCTGAGAGTACCCTCCTGAAGAAGCAAGAAGCACACGTGCTGGACAAATCCATCCTTGGACGCACTCTGGAGCTAATTGAGCGTCACCCAGCTACCAAGAACAGATATCACTATGCAAAGGATAAGTAGAATCCTCATTCCTTTAGTTCGTAGAACAAAGACGTTTGTGCTTCTATGTTAGACCCCGTAACGCTACCCGGGTAGTCGTTGGTTGTGTAATTCGCTACCGACGATACTCCGGGGTATGCCATGTGTTATGGATGTCGCTCGCAACATATAGGGCGAAGAAGGGTCTTGTTCGTTACTATGGAGTACGAAAAGTGCAAGTGCCGACTCGAATGGTGCGCCAAGAGCAAACATGAACTAAACACGCTTCTGTTAGGTTTCTTCATAATGCTTCTAGACGTCTGTGGTAGAAGAAAGCCATGTCGGCCCGTCTGATCCCGGCTCATTGGATGATCGCCTTCGCACTTCGCACAGAAGCTTGGAATCGATGACGCGACGGGAATTAGGCCTGCGAGGCGCAGCGATGCAGGGGTGTGCACGCGAGGCTTGTCGTTTTCTTCGGCATCGCGATCTCTAGGACACCGAAGGCGCATTCGATGATGACTAGGACTCGGCGACTGGGCGTTGTCTGGGCAAATCAGGTCGTCGCCGAGGCATGTTCGCGTAGGCCTGTGGAAGCGAAGCGGGCAGCGCTGCGAGTCAGGCCAGGATCTATGTCGACGCGAAATCGTGGTCGTGACCATGACGGACGTCGAAATAAAGGTGAGATCTGGCGCTTTCCGTGACAGGCGTTGCCCCAGCTCTTTGGAGCAGAGTGAGGTGAGCCGGGCCGTTGGCAGGGAGTTCAGGGCTTTTGAACGCCAGGCTGTGTCATTCGTTCCCCTATGCCCCACCGGCACAACATCAATCCGCCATGCGCCTCGCCAGCGCCCGATGTGGACCATGGCGTGAGGGAATGGACAGGGGATGCGGTAGTCGAAGACGTCCGACAAGACATCGTCTGCTCGGCGTCGTGCCGTATACGCTGGGTACGGATGGAGGATATTGATGAGGTATTTGCCATCCATGGTTCGCTACCTAGGTACTAATTAACACCCTCTTTTTATCTGTCTACATCGCTCTTTTGTCTTTTTCTGGTTGCCTTTATCCTCCCAAAGTAGTTACACTCAGGACATACGACTTGGACACCACGTGAACGACTCGATCCTAGACTTGCACCCTCAGCGCGCCCACCGCGGGCAACGGCCGCGACCATGGCAGGCGCAATCGTAAGCCAGACATGGATCCTCACCAAGAAGACGCTGCTCGTTGTCTTCGTTCGCCACTGGTTCTTCACAAGCGTGCGCGCTTTCTGGGCTCCCATCATATTTGTACGTTCACCTACATGTCAACGGCGGGGCCATGGCTGACCAAGCGTGTGCAGATGTTCTTCATTACCTACGCAAAGAACTTCTTCGTCCCACCCTCCGAGTACGGCATCGGCACCCCGTCCCTCATACGCTCCTTCCCCAACGCGCTCAGTGCTGCCACGGGCGGCCGCGACAAAGTCGTCTTCGTCGACAACGGATACACAGGTGGCGATATCGAACAGGTCATTGCACAACTCTCGACTCAGGTCCGTGATGCCGGCCTACAACCCATCACAATCCAGCAAGACGTACAACTCCTCTCCACGTGCGAGAGCTCTTTGCGCGGTGCCAGTACGTGTTATGGTGCAGTGTCCTTCCATTCCAGTCCGAGCCAAGGCCAAGGCCAGAGCTGGAACTACACCATCAGATCGGACGGAGCACTGGGAGAGGAGATCTACGTGGACCAGGACGACAACGACGTTCAGATCTATATTTTGCCCTTCCAACGCGCCATCGACCAGGCCATCGCCGCCGTTGACGGCTCGGCGACTGTTCCCGACATTGATGAGTATCCATACACCGAGCGTACGCAGCAGGAATATGACGATCGCATCAGGACGCTGTACATGGGTGCGCTCATCAACATCATGGGCGTCGCTCTGTACATTGGTGTATGCGGTGTGACTTACCAACTAACGGGCCAAATGGCAGAAGAAAGAGAACGTGGCATATCACAGCTCGTAGAAGCAATGTCTCCCGCCAAAAAAGCATGGCATACGCAGTTTGCCCGCCTTTTGTCAATGCACATTGCATTTGATATTATTTACTTTCCAGGCTGGGTCATCATGGGAGCTATCGTCTGGGCATTGGCTTTCAAAACATCCAATGCTGCCATATTGGTAATCTTCCATATTCTCGCTGGCCTGTCCTTGACCAGTTTCTCCATCTTCGGAGCCGCCTTTTTCCGCAAAGCCCAACTATCTGGTATCACCATTGTCATTGTCCCCATCCTGCTGGCCATTATCGCGCAAGTCGCTGGACCCTTCAGCACGGGCGCTGTATATGTCCTGAGCTTGTTGTTTCCATCCATCAACTACGTCTTCTTCATTATTTGCGTTGCCCGCTTTGAGAGACAGCTTATTGGTATGAACCTTGTAGGAGCCGCACCGGATTATGAAGATCATATTTGGACCACCCCCGGCATCGTGTTTTGCATCTTCGCCATCATCCAAACTATCGTATACCCCTTCTTAGGAGCTCTTGTCGAGCGCTGGCTGTATGGTACCGTGTCTGCGGACAGGAAGACTACGACTTCCTCGCCAGATCACAACATTATTCTGACAAACTTTTCAAAGCATTGGACTCCAAGT